AGCGCTTGGCCGCGCTTGCTGCGGCGGGAGCGGCGGCCTCGGTACGTCGCCTTACTTGGCGTAGGAGAGAAGAGGCGTTTGTCTCTGCTCCTATACAACTGGTGAAAGAGGACGGGTACTGTTGGTGGAACAGGCCGTGTTTTGAGGGATTCTCTCTAGATCACAGGATTCAACGTGGTCTGTTTCTCCACGTTGCCCTTCCCGGTTCTGTTGCAATTCAGGTTTGGTAAATCTGCTGCAGTGACAAGGTTTTCTTGGAACGGTTCTTTCGGCACATTGCATCGCCCCGCAGTACCTGAATAGCTGGCTTCCTTATAGGCAAGGCTGATAGTTACACCTCTGCCCGCCACACTTGCTCAATACTTTCCATTGTAAAACTCCATTTTAATTACTTTTAACATTGCAAAACTTTGGCCAGCGAGGCAAAATTTTCCATGCGATCTCCTGTTAAAGGCGCCACCTTGCTCCTCTCACTGCCAACCTGAGGGGGAGGCAGATGAAGATCTACGTTCTTGTCCCTGTCCAGGTTTTGGGTTTTGTTATTCTAGAGAGCAGAATATCCTGAATACTTAACAAAGGAAGAGCTTTTCAATTAGCCTTGTTTTCGTAAAGCATGGGCGTTTATCTCAAATGCCCAGGAAATGCCTTGGAGAAAGATTTTTGTGGCAGGCTCAGAAATTACATGCCTTCAGTTAAGATCTGAAAAAGCTGCCACAAACTGAGTCTTCCTTGGTCATCTCACTGGCAGATTTCTCTTTCCGTGAGCCATTCAGAGAAGTCAGCCATATCCACTGCTTAATCATGACCAAGGCCTGTTCAGGCTTATTTGTGTGCAATACTTTTATGTTACCAAACACAGAGTCAGAAAATAATTTAAACACACGCTCAGTTTCTTTTTGTGAGCCTTTGCATAAGAGCTGCAATGGGAATATTTATGTGCTTATTATTAAGCGTATAGGCTCACGTGCTGCTGACTCAGGACTTATTGAAAAAAACAATCACCTTTCAGTGCAAATCAGGAAAATCTTAAAACCAGATTTGGAACGATGCAAACTATCCTCTCCTCCCAAACACTTCTATTGTTAAAAAATGAGTCCAACAATGCCTGCCCTCTAATTTACCCCGCATGAATGCAGGGGTAAAACAACACGTGGGTGCAGGACCAGTAGCAACAGGACCAACAGGAATCCTCAGAGCCAGCTGGGCCCCCACACAACATGCGTGAGAAAGTCCTCATGGACGTTTTATTTAACAACTTACATTTGTTGCGGAGTGAGGAGCATCATCACTGTTTATTCCTGTCTCTCATATGGTCAGCACGTGGCTGATGGCCACGAGCTGTGAGCCCATTTCGGAGTGAGCAATACTCCGGCATCGACACACGCTGCACCATGCAAAGCGTTTTGAGGATACCTGGAGGAGCCACGCAGCAAAGCCTGGTGCCGCTCTCCCACCCTTGGCACAGGTGAACCGTCCTCGCAGCCCCGCAGAGCGACTATGCCCCCACTGGCCTCACCGCCATCCCCCTGTTAAAAAGCTTTTGTAGTCTACTCTGATGAAAAAGTTTGACGCTGTGCAATTAACGTGCTAATTCCTATGTCTGCTTCGCACTGAGGAGCGTTCGGCAGCTTCGAAGAAGTCTTCTCATTCTGCACTGAGAAGAACAGTAGGAGAAGATCACTCTGGGGATAAATATTTCCGTGACTCATCCCCCTCCTTCACACCCTACGGTCCCTTATTCAGTCTCCAGCCTGTCAGTCCCGGGCGGGTTTTGTCCGCTCTCGTGCTAGCCCTTCCTGACATCCCGTATGATTTCCTGCTTAAGAGCATGTCCAAGTCTCCCTGGGCAAATGCAGCATCTTTGCGACGCGTGACGTACTTCATCCAGACTCGCTGGTTGTCTAGCTCCTCAGGACGGATGCCTGCTCTCTCCGTTGTGTATCTCATGAGGTATCTTGCTCTGCTTGCACTTGGTTTGCAATCTGTTTAGGTTTTTTTTTTTCCTTTCCTTTTAAAGTCCTGGTTGCTGGGTCCAGTGAGATTTCATTTGATTTAGCTTTCAGGGACAAAAAAGGAGGGAGGGAGGGAGACATTTGGGAGGAAAAGAGTTTCAAGTCTCTCCGATTGTGGGAAAAAAATTTAGAGCATGTGAAGGAAAGCACCTTGCAGACTCAGACATCAGAAGGTAAATAAAAAGAGCAGAACAGGTGTTACCTAAAAGCAATATTATGAGTCAAAGCCATTTTAAAGTCCTGAGTCACAGTTTTGATACTTGTATCAACCATCTACAGATACTCTCAATTGCTTTAGCATGTCAGTAGTTGCTCTGCAGTGAATGGGGCTATTACGAACTTGCAGCAAGTTAATTGTTATGTATAAACAAGTGCAAGTTCAGGGCAAGCGAAATAAAGGTGCCTGCCAGCTCCTCTCCAGGTAGGGTACCTCCCTTAACCTGTGAGCTAGCAACCCATTATTTTGTTGGCCATTTCTCTGGGATTTTGCCCCGTAGCCTGGTCAGAGCAGCAGCACATCACAGCACAACTGTGATGCCAGATGCACAGAAATCCTCGACACGCAGGTGCAGCCCTATTCAGGCTGAGGCCACCAGGCTCGCCAGAGGCTCCTCAGAGCCGCTCTGCTCGCGCACCACCCACGTGGCACGCACCAAGCTTGCGGCCCCAGCACAGGCCAGGCTGTGACTAGCGTATGCCAGCCGGCAAGACTCTCACTGGGAGACCCTGGGCAGGACATGCAGGAACGAACGAGCGATCTCAAAAATCGAGACGTTACATTCAGTGGCCTGGTGACAACACATGTTGTAGTCTACAGGCAACTCGTCTCAAACTCGGTAAGAATATTAAAAACATACATAATACTTGACACATATAAACCACCCAGGTGACCCCACTGCCCCAGGACACATCTACGACGTGACAGGCCTCACACCACTCCCACCACAAACCAACGTGCCAAGGGCATAAAGCCTGCGTTTTTCTAAATGCCAGACTAATAGGAGACCCTAGGCTCCACAGGTTATGGTGAAGCTAACTCACCCTCCAGGGTGGCTTATAACACAACTAGAAGACAAAACACGCAATCCAGGTAGGAGATGCAGCGGAAGGTGCGTCTCTGTGCCACGAAGGGCTCAGTGTCCCCTCCAAGACGGCCCCAGGTGTGGCGTGCTCCAGCCTTCGCCAGCCCGGGGGCTGCTGGTCCCCGTCCTCATCTGCATACTCCCGCCCCCGCGCGCCATTGGCCGCCCTTCTCCCCAGCGGTGGCGCGGCCGTGGGGCTGTGGGGCGGGGC